ACCTTTTTCTCAGCTTCAGCAACCATAGCAGCCGAGATATCACTGGCAGACACCACGGCGCCCTCCTTCGCCAATGGAATCGACAAACTTCCGGTCCCACACCCGGCATCACACACTGTAACGCCCTTCAATGACCCCTCATCCGTCAGCATCTTCATCACATTCTCCACAGTTTTCGCGTGCCCAATTCTTATGTCTAGCTGCACTTTGTTAACATCATCCGTCTCTCCATATATCCTGCGCCACCGCTGGAACCCATCGTTGTTAAAGTACTCCCTGACCACTTCCTTGTCCCCGCCGCCCACTTCCTCCGCCTGGATTTGCCGCCGCCTCTCAGGATCGGTGAAGGAAAGCACGGCCGCGAGTGCTGCCACAGAACTTCCACCGATGACAGCTAGAGTGGTGCTGTCGAATGGATTACCCACGACGGAGACGTCGGTGGCAGTGGATAGTGGTGGAACGGCGGCCACGGTTCCGGGGGTCTTCCGACGATGGCGGCTTAGGAGTGTTGGGTTTGGGGAGAGTTGTATGGGACAAAATAGGAACGAAGTGAAGGCCATTGTTGTATGAGTAAGTTTGCGTGTCTCTCTACGGCCGGCGGGAGAATTTAGTTAAAATTGAGGATGTTTGGGCAGTTGATGATAATGTAATCCGTTACGAGGATAAAAAGAGATCTGCTTGGCAAACAGGGCCACGTACGCCCTGTTTGACCAACCTGCCCATGTGGACAAACACGTGGCCCTGTTTGTTTAGAATTATTGGGATAGGAATCGCCACGTTCCAGTATGTGGGTCCCGATCACCCCCAATTAATAGTTTTGCTTCGAGTCCTCGAATCACTGAGCAAAAACATTTTCCCAAATACCCAAAGTTTTTTTTTTTTTTTTTTGAGTAATTCTATTCAAACTCAACTAAACTTCGCATTAATATGATAGGTAAAATGAAAGGTGAAATTAAATTAATGTGACTAATTCTTTTAGATAGAATTGAAACAAAATTTGAAATGTACATTTGATTGCTCTTAGTGCTAAGAAAATAAGTTGAAGGCTTACTTATTTGATACTAATATACTTTCTTAACTCTAAGTGCCCATTTGGCCCCTATTATTCCATGTTATAATGAGAGAAATATTTTTTATTTTTTATTTTTTTTAAAATGTGTGATTAAAAAAAGGAACAAATTAGGTTTATGTGAAATATTATTTTACTGAAAAATGTGTAGCTGATAAAAAAGAAAAAAAATTATAATTTAATGCAGAATAAGGGAGGCCAAGGGGGGCTGATTTCCAAATTAGATAAATTATAATAATGCTACTTGTATATAAGCACTTACATAATAATTTACATACGAATGAGGTGTCAAAAAGAGATTGAGAAAGTATTTTTTTATTTAATCGATAAAATTCTAACCCAATCAGGTAATTATATATTATCACATCGTATGTATATAAACATATTATATACATGTAACACTGCTGATGCTTCTTCATTACACTAGGAGCCTGTTTGGGAGTGATTTTGAGAATTGATTTTTTGACCGTTAAGAAAAAAGTTGGATTCACTTGTGAGAGAAGAAATCAAATATGACGGTTAAAATAGTGGAATAACGGTAAAAAAATTAATTTTTTGGATGAAAAAATGGGGCCCAAACAGACCCTAGAAGAGAGCATATCATATAATATTCCACCAATTTAAATGAGTCGTGAATGGGAGCTGTGGGCTACCATGCATTTTCTCCTACACAACACTCATTCATCTGATTTCTAAATGTCGAGCTTGAATAGTTCAACCGATTGATTTTATGAAATGTGTTGGCCAATTCTTGTTAATTAACTACAAGTTCGAAGACTATGGAGTCAGTCGTCTTGTTAACTAACTACGAGTTTGAAGACTATGGAGTCATTATTTCATGGAAATGGCTGATCAACTAAAGTGACGTCTGAAAACTTGTTTTCAACATCTCATTAAAATAAAAATGTGTACTAATTTTTTGGTATTTCCATGTATGAAAATCAAGTTTATCGCCTATTTGAGCCCCCCATTTTTTTGTCCAAAATGCACTTCGAATAGTATTTTGTTGGACAATGTATGATTGAAAAATAAAGAAAAATTTTGAAAAATATGTGTAATATTATTTTATTAAAAATGCATGGTTAAAAATAAGAGAGAAAGTGAGAAAAAAACATATTTTGAAAATAATGAATACCAAACAAAGGCTTAATTTAATAAGTTCATTGAAAACGTCATTTGTTCTAAATTTAATAAAAATCTCACTTGCTTCAAGACTAACATTTTTAGTGGCTCTCATCTCCTACTACAACACTGTATTTCGCTTTTGAGGGTAACAATACCAAATACTAATTATTTTCGATGCCAGGATGTAAAGTTATGCCAATTTTACTCGCAAAAATAACAATTTCTTATAATTATTAAGGTTTGAGCTTCTATCGTAAAATGTCAATCTAGGTAAGAGGAGTAACCCAACACCTTATATGTTGATTGTTTATTTTATATTCTTTTTCCTTACACATGCCCTTCAAGATGATGGTTCATTTGAGTAAATCAATTTTGAATTTCGCATACTAGTTTTTTAGTCTTCGTCGAGTAGAATTGTTCGTTTAAGTTTAATGGACTATGATATTGTATAAAGGCTTGGATTCATCTTAAAATGTCGATCTTCATAAGAGAAGTAATCCAAAATCTTATAGTTTGATTGTTTATTTTATAATTTTCTCCTTAACAAATAAGCAATGTTAATAAAAAGTGGTGCTAAAATGGGAAATCCACAAAAGTCTCAGACCTAACTCAGACCATAAACAATAGTCCATAAATAGTTTGCCAAGTATAAGATTGCCTGTATCCACAGGACAAAGCTGCTTGTCATGTGGCCCGGACATATGGGGCTTGTATCCATATTTGGGCTGGATGATTCTCAAGTCGACCCAACCCACTTATTTCCACACGAGTCCCTAAAATACGGATAGTTTGTCATTAGGTAGCCATATTTTATCCTTCCAATCCAATTTGCATAGCTTCTTTTCTTACCATCAATTCACAAATAATTAAATTATGAATCTTCAAATAATTATTCGAGGGTATCTTCAAGCGATTTGATGTTAAATTCGTTATTAAAATCGATAGAATTTTCTTTAGGGATAATTGTACTGGAAACTCCCAAACTTTTGAAACATTAGCAGTCTTTCCTCAAATCTTTCAATCATTGCAATCGTCGCCCCTAACATTTTCAAACCATTACATGTGAGGTTCTTTTGGACGATTTTCATCCAAAATTTTGTCAGTTGATCAAAAATATAATTTTGATCACATTTAAAAAAAATTAAAGTGGCAAAATGATAACTTTGCATTTTCCTATCATAAACTGTGAGAATATTAAGAGAGAGAGAGTCTCAAATAAATTCATTCGGCACCACCTTCTTCTTCTTTATCCCTCCATCTT